TGTGTCTTGTAACATTGATTTTTTTTGCACAAAATTTCTGATGTTTCCACTGACTCCTGTTATTTCTAGGCACTTGATTATCCACTCATGTGGCAGGAAGTGGAATATTGTCCTGTAATCAATCCAAGCTGGTCTTTCTTCTCTTGAGCTTTCCAACAAATCTTCGAGGTTGTTAAGACATTCAGTTTAGTAGCCAGAAGTGTGAGGTGTACAACAAGCCAGAACACACAGCGGGAGTGGAGTGGTTGGGGAGGGCCAGTTCTTGTGTGAGGCCATCTGTGCTGCTGCGTTCAGTTGCGGTGGGTGTGCACCTTTCTGGATGAGGCTGAATGTTTAATGTGTATATTTCTTTTCCCATGTAAAATTGAGAGTATCTTGGGGACGTTTCGATGAGGTCCCACTCGTCGTCTTCAGGCTGGGATCTTCGGCTTCGTGCTTGTGCGAGTAAAGTGTGATCGGAGCTGCCATCTCTCTATAAATATTGGTGTGTGTGTGTGTGTGTGTAAAAGACAGCACATTTGTGTTGACTTCATTTGGACAGCTGTGGCTTAATAATAATAATATTAATAACAACAACAACAACCACAATAATAAAGTTGGAAGGGACCTTGGAGGTCATCTAGTCCAACCCCCTGCTCAGGCAGGAAACCCTATACCATTTCGGACAAATGGCTGTCCAGTCTCTTCTTAAAAACTTCCAGTGTTGGAGCATTCACCGCTTCTGGAGGCAGGTTGTTCCACTGGTTAATTGTTCCAACATTCCTCAACAGAGGCTTTTTAGCCCACCCCCACCCACCCCTGCTTAATCCAGAGACCCCAGACCATTCCAGTCCGGTGTCTGTCCAGCCTCTTCCTAAAAAAAAAACCCTCCAGTGATGGAGGCACCCATGACTTCTCTTCCACTGGTTGATTGTCCACCTTGTGAGGAAGTTTCTCCTTAATTCCAGGTTGCTTCTCTCTTTGGTCAGTTTCCAACTATTGTTTCTCATCCTGCCCTCTGGTGCTTTGGAGAATAACGTGACCCCCTCCTCTTCTTTGGGGCAGCCCCTCAAATACCAGAACGCTGCTATCATGTTTCCCCTGTTTCTTCTTTTCTTCAGACTGGCCAAACCCAAGTCCTGCAGCCGTTGTTCATATGTTTTAATCTCCGGGCCTTGGATCCTCTTAGTTGCTCTTCTCTGGATTTTTTCCAAACTCTCAACATCCTTTTTGTGGTATGGTGACCAAAATTGGCTGCAGTATTCCAGGTGTGGCCTCACTAGGGCTTTATAAAAGCAGTGCTAATACTTCGCGTGTTCTTGATTCTATGCCTCTGTTTATATAACCCAGGATTGCGTTAGCTTTTTTGGCGGCGGGGCTGGCTCATGGTCAAGGGATCGTCCACTAGGACTCCAAGGTCCCTCTCACAGTGGCTGTTTTTAAGCCAGGATTGCTCCTCTGACATTTGTGGGGGGAGGGGTTCTCCTTTGCTGCCCAGGCAGACATGAGCTTGTCTTCAACTAGAGGTTGAGTTATGACTGTAACAGGGCCTGTCCATCATTTCATAACTCATGACAGTCATGAAGTGGGCCGGTTGCATCACACACACACAGACAATTTTATGACTGTTTTGTGACAGTTCTTAGGAAATTGCTATGGTGATGAAGCCACCGCTATAGTGGTTAGTTGGTGGCTATGATCCAGCTTCGCGGAAAACTGGAAGTAAATGTGGGTTTTTGTCAAAACGGTTGTAAAATGGCCACACCATAATTTATAAATGACTACATGCAGCCCGGTTGCCGTGTGTTTATGTAATTGTCGTAAACCCCCCTCCAGCCACAGAAATTTCAAATCTGGGTCATAACTGCCCCCGTCCTGCCCCCCGCAGATCCGTCAGAGCTTCAAACAGTTGCTAAGCCATTGGACACAAGTTGTGGACTCTTAGTAGATGCTGTTGGACTGCATCAGCCAGGAGAGCAGTTAGCGATTTTAAAGTTGCTATTTTTAATAATAATGGATATGTTTAATAGTGCTGCCCAATTACCTAATTTGGAAGTGAAACACCTGCAAGAAAACCCACCCAGCCCAGAGACCCCCAAGGACCTCCCCCCAGTTCAACCCCGATCTACAAATATTGATAATGGATCAGTGTAGCCGATGTGCGGAGCATGTGGCTGTCTGTAATTGACAGGTAGAAAATTTTACCAATGTGCAAATTTTCTAAGTGCTATCCAAGGTGTGTGGGGTATTTTGGGGGGGGATATGCTGCTAACCCCTGGGCCCACCGTGGTCAGTTTGTGCCCTAATCTTTCAGTTTCCATTTTCAGATCTTAAATAGGAGCCAGCCGTGTGCTGCAGCTGCCAAAAAGGCCAACACAGTGCTAGGCTGAATTAACAGAGGGATAGAATCAAGATCACGTCAAGTGTTAATACCACTTTACAATGCCTTGGTAAGGCCACATTTGGAATCCTGCATCCAGTTTTGTTCACCACGATGTAAAAAAGATGTTGAGGCTGCGGAAAGAGTGCAGAGAAGAGCAACAAAGATGATTAGGGGACTGGAGGCTAAAGCATATAAGGAACGGCTGCTGAAATTGGGTATGTCTAGTTTAACAAAGAGAAGGACGAGGAATGACATGGTAGCAGTATTCCAATATCTCAGGGGCTGCCCCAAAGAAGAGGGAGTCAAACTATTCTCCAAAGCGCCTGAAGGCAGGACGAGAAGCAATGGATGGATACTGATCAAGGAGAGAAGCAACCTAGAACTAAGGAAAAACTTCCTGACAATTAGAACAATTAACCAGTGGAACAACCTGCCTCCAGAAGCAGTGAATGCTTCAACACTGGAAGTTTTTAAGAAGAGACTGGACAGCCATTCGTCCTAAATGGTATAAGGTTTCCTGCCTGAGCAGGGGGTTGGACTAGATGACCTCCAAGGTCCCTTCCAACTTTATTATTATTATGATGGATCATCGCACAGTCAGCCAGATGTTCAGACTGGATTTGGCATTTTTGTCTACCTATCAAGTCCTTACCCAGGACCTGGGATGATGATATTATTATTATTATTATTATTATTATTATTATTGATCATCGCACAGTCAGCCAGATGTTCAGACTGGATTTGGCATTTTGTCTACCTATCGAGTCCTTACCCAGGACCTGGGATAGGCAGATGTGGATGTTTGATGGTATTACAGATATCGTCGCAGGATGGAAGCAGTTCCTAATAAGGCCGCCTTTTGCAATTGACTAATAGTGAATTTGTCAATGCCAATGGTGTTCAAGTGGTGCTCCAGTTGTTTTGGGATTGCACCCAAGGAGCCTATGACTATTGGTACTACCCTTGCTTGCTTTTGCCACAGTCTTTCTATTTCTATTTGTACGTCTTTGTATTTTGTTACCTTCTCCAGTTCTTTCTCTTCTATTCTGCCGTCTCCAGGCACTGCCACGTCCACTAGCCAGATTTTTTTGTCTTTCTTATCGACAATTGTTTAGTCTGGGGTGTTGCTGTTGTTGTTATTATTATTATTTTCATTCATTTATTTATTTATTATAGCCACCCAATTCCAATAGTCTGAACAGCAGAGAACACAAACCAAAATCCTTAGAAAGAGATAAAAACAGAGCCAGTTGGGGCTACTGGTTAAGGCACCAAGCTCAAAAGCTGGAGATGGTCAGTTCAAATCCCGCCTTAGCCATTGAAAGCCAGCTGGGTGACCTTCGGCCAGTAGTTCTTGCTAAGTGGAAGCCACCTCACAGGGTTGTTGTGGGAAAAATAAGAGGAGGAAGATGTGTTGCATATGTTCACTGGTTTATTTGTAAAAATAATAGATAAATAATAAAACCCACAGTAAAACCACGGACACAGCCTAGCTAAAACAATCTAAAACAGGGGTCTTCCAACTTGGCCCTTTGTGGACTTCAACTCCCAGAATTCCTCAGCCAGGCACGTGTTCCTAGCTGAGGAATTCTGGGAGTTGAAGTCCACAAGTCATCAAAGGGCCATGTTGGAAGACCCCTGATCTAAAATGACAGAGACCCAGTTGCGACCCCAAAAGAAAATTGCTCTAGGAATGGGGGGGCGCACAAGCCCTCCTAGGAGACCCCCTCCCCACAGGGGGGTTCAAGCCAGCCTCCACCAGCCGCTCCCGAGCACAGAAGGGAAGCAGGAGGTCTGGTGAGGACAAGGGTCCCTGGCCCAGAAGGGGCGGTTGGGGGTGGGGTGGGAGAGGCCTTATTACTCCTAGAAGTTGCTGGGGGGGGGCAAGGAGATGGGGACGCCTCCCCAATCCTGTTTCGAGAGCATCAGCATTGGGCACCCCTCCACCAGCCACACTTTTGGAGGGAGGGCAGGTGCGGAAGCCCCCACCCTATCCCAGAGGGGAGCCTGGGAAACGGGGAAACCCGGGGGGGGGGCTCCCCTGTTCTCCCTCTGTCCCTTACAGACCCATCCCCACGAGACACCCCTTCCGTGGCATCGATGGAAACGACCCACGAGCCGAGCTGCCCACCAGCTGCGTCAGAAGGGCCAGTCTATGGGGGGGGGTTGATTCAGCCCCCCCCCCCGGAGACCCCCAAACGCGGCTCCTCCTTTCGCAGCCTTCGGGGCAGCCGCTCCAGCGGAGGGATTCGCTGCGGGGGGGGGGAGACTGGGCACCAGGGCAGCCTCGGACCCCTCGGGGGGGTTAGGGGGATACCTGGGGGTCCTTTGCCCCCCCAACCCAGCCCCGGAGAAGCAGTGGGCGGGGGGGCACTGAGCTGATTGGGGGGGGGGCTTCCTCCCACAAGCCAGGCAACTGTCCAACCGGGACAGCGCCAGGATCCAGCCACCCACCAATCGCCGCCGGGGCTGATGCGGGGCACGAGGAGAGGGGGCGCACGGAAGGAGGCAGGTTGGCGCCCCCTCCCCTGGCTGCACTTCCGCCTGACGTATCAACCTCGTGGCCGGGGGGCGGGGCACCGTCAGGTCGTGCGGCGGACGCGACAGGAAGCAGGTAGCGGAGCCTCCTCCTCCTCCTCCTCAGCCCCGGACGGGCCAGCTCGGGGATTTACCCCCCCCCCGGCGTCGGCGTGGGAGAGGCGGGCGTGGGTTCGGGGGGGGGTGTCACGTCGGGTGGGGGGGCGAGCTCCATGCTGGGCCAGCAGGGCGCCCCCTGCCGGTTGCAGATGCCCGCGGGCGCCTTCGGGGTAAGCGCCGCCCCGTGTGTGCTTGTGGGGGGGCGGTGGGGGGGTGCTGCCGCGGTCCGAAGGGTCCCCCCCATCGCCCCCCCCGTCTCTGCTTCCCCCGCAGGTGGCGGCGGCGGCGCTGCTCCTGCTGCTGATGCTCCCGGCGCTGCAGCGGTTCTCCGGGCGCCTTTTCTCCGCCTCCTCCTCTTCCTCCATGGCGGCCGAGCCTCCTCTTCCTCCCGCGGCGGGCGGCGGCGTCTCGGCCGCCTTCGTCACCTGCCCCAATGAGACGGTGGCCAAGGACCTCGCCAGGTGGGCGGGGGGCGTCGGACGGGGGGGGAGCGGGAGGGGGGGTCTCCGCGGGAGGGGGGGCGCGGCCGGTTGCTGAGCGCCTCCCCCGGCCGGTCTCCGCAGGGCCCTGGTGGAGCAGCGGCTGGCGGCCTGCGTGAACGTCCTGCCCGGCGTCACCTCCATGTGAGTCTCCCGGGGCGGGGAGGGAGGGAGGGAGGGGGCAGGTGCTCGGAGGGGAGGGGGGCGGCGGCAGCGGCGTCCCGGGCTCAGCCTCCCCCCCCCCGCCTCTTGCAGCTACCGGTGGAAGGGCGCCGTCGAGGAAGACGCGGAGGTGCTACTGGTGAGCGGGGCGCCGCGGGGGGGGGCTTTCCTGGGGGGCGCCTCCTCCACCCGCCTCCCACCCCCCCACTCTTGCGGGGTGGCTGCTCGAGGGAGGGGAACCAGCCTTGCGCCTCCCCCCAGCGTTGCGATCGGCTGCAACCCTTGGAGGCCTCCCTCAAGCCTTGCGGGCGGGGGAGGGTTGTGGAAGGTGCCCCCTTTGCCCTTGTGCCCCCCTCCCCACAACTTGGTGGATCCATGTCCTGAACTCTCTAAACGGACTGGATCCCTCACCCACCGGAAGGGGGGGGCTTGAACCCCGACCCCAAGCATGCCAGGCTGTTTCACAGGGCACCAGCAGGCCAAGGTATTGAGGAGGGGTCTTCCCTCCCCCCTCTGGCCAGCCTCACACAGAGCCCTGCCTGCAGAGCTGGGGGTCCCTCAACGTTACTCTTCCCCCCCCCCGCCAGATGATCAAAACACGCAGCTCCCGGGTCTCAGCGCTGGCAGAATATGTCCGGTAAGGCAGACCCCCCCCTTTACCTTGGCAGTTGATGGGGGGGTCAACAGCATTCTACATCACCCCCCCCGTCCCTTTGCCTTGCAGGTCGGTACACCCCTATGAAGTGGCCGAGGTGATCGCCCTCCCCATCCAGCAGGGAAACCCCCCGTACTTGCGGTGGGTGGAAGAGGCCGTGCCCCCCGAGTGAGGGGGGCCCTTGAGCAGTCTGTCTCCCCAATAAAGCCCCACCCAGGCCTGAGGGGGAGGCCCAGGCCGCGAGGCTCTCGCTTCTGTCTGTATTTGTCTGGGGGGGGGCTCCTCACGTCCTGGGCGTTGTGTGGGACAGGGGGGCTGGCTGGCTAGGGCCAGATCCCCCCCAGGTAGCTGCGGTCCCGTGTCTGGGGCCCCACCCTGGAAGAAACTGCGGCAGCCGAGTCTTAATGAAGCTCTTTATTCAGCCTCTGGCTGTGAACAGGAAGGGGGGGGGAACAGCAGCATCTTGAACAAAGTCAGCAGTGTGGGGGGGGAGGCAGGCAGCCCCCCCCAGGAAGCCACGTCCTGCTCCTCTTGGGGGGTCTCCCTAAAAACTTTACTCAGAAACAGTACAAAAATAAATGAACTCAGCCTTTGCTCTGGAGGGGTCGAACAAGGTGGGCCGGCGGGCATGGGGGCGGGAGGGGGCGAGTGCAGGAGGCTAGGCGGTGGGGTCCTCCGGCCAGGGTCCCATTCCCAGGTCCCCCTGCTGCCCTTCCTTCTGCGGGAGTCGGGAGGGGGGCTCGTGGCTCCAGGCGGGGGAGGGCTGGCACTCAGCCCCTCCGGCCTAGAACATGCCCCGCCCATCCCACTCCACCAGGTACTGGACAGTGCCGTCCGTGGTGATGCGACGGGCCAGGATGCGGACGGCCTCACCCCGCGCCAGCCGGCCCATCACCCCGAAGTAGCTGGTGCTGGCTGGGGCGCAGAGGGAGGGGGGCACGGTGGGGGGCAGGGGAGGGGGCGTAGCTTGGCGTTTGAGGGGAGGCGCTGGGCAGGGCAGGAAGGCGGGGGCAGGGCGCTCCGGGCTCTGCTGCTCTGCGGCGGGCGTGGCTGCCACGCCGAGGTCAAGGGGGGGCTCACCGCTTCTGCTGCAAGAGAAGAAGGGCTGCTTAGTGCCGGCCCCTCCCCCAGGCCAAGAACCCCCCTGCCACCGAGGGCCAGTGGTGTGGCCCGACGGGCAGAGACGGGCAGTGGTGTGGCCCCTGACGGGCAGAGATCCCCCCCTTGGAGGTTTCCCAGCCTGGAAGAGAGGGAGAATGGCAGGGGAGGGTCTGGCTGATCTCTGATCTACCTCGGAGCCCCGGCAGCCGTTGGGGTCCGTCCCGTCCGGAACACGGGTGACCCAGCTCCACAGCCATCCTGTGACAGCTTCAGTGCCTGTGTGGCATTGCCAGGACTGGCGCAAGTGGTGGTGGGTACCCCAGCTGCTTTGGGGGATCTTCCTGCCCAGATGGACTTGGGGAAGACGCCCGTGGAAGAGACCACCAGCACGCCGGGCAGTTCTGGCCTGTCTGACTTCCGGAATGGGTGTGCCCCCCCCCCAACAGCTCCATGTGGTGCTTCTGCAGAAGCACCGACCCTGGGGAGGGTCACCTAGCCGGCTCAGCCCAGGGACCCTTTGCGGGCTTCTCCAGAGAGGAAGCCAGTGTGAGGATTGGGCCCCTCGTGAAGGGGGCCAAAGCCTCGGGCCATGCACCGCTGGGAAAAGTTCTTCTGCACCCCCCTTGATGCACATGGGGGGCACAGAAGCTCCAGTGGGTTGCCCACACACACTTGACCCATTGGGGCTCCTGCCCAGCCTGGTAGCTTCCCTCAATGGGGGGGGTCTTTGCCCACCGTCCCTGCGATGCCAGCCGATCTCAGCCCTTGGGAACAGAGGCCAACAGCCGGCCATCTGTCAGACCAGCCCACAAAGACTCATGTGGGGGGGTCGCCTGAGTGGGGAGGGGGCCCTGCCAATCCGTCTGCCGCCACGGCAGCAGGGGCCCCGACACCCATCGGAGAGCCTCATGTCAAAGCAAGAATACTCAATATTAGCACCAGCCATGGGAGGTGCCAGAGGGCCCCCTCCCCCAGCGGAATCCGATGCCTGGTGCCAGAGGGACACTGGGGAGCCCCAGGTCGCTCTGTGCCGCCCCGCTCACCTCAAGGTCCCTGCAGTGTTGGCCGAGGGATGGAAGGAGGCGAACATCCGGATCGGGGTGCTGTGGGGGGGGGGAGAGCAGAGCGTCAAGAGGGAGCCAGCCTGGTGAAGGCCGCCCGCCCTCTGCGCCCCCTGAACCCAGCCTCACCTGTCCTGGCAACGGGCGTCCGTGCGGCGGAAGTTGTAGCTGCTGCAGGCGCCGCCGTAGCCGCCGTAGCTCTGGTTAGGGCTGGCCGGGGGGCTCTGTGCCAGCTCCTGCGAGAAAGGAGGGGACCATGAGGGGCAGCCGGGGGCCAGCACGGACCCCCGTCCTCACGCCCCCCCCCTCCGCTTACCTGAGTGAGGGCCCTGCCCAGCCGCTCCCTCTCCCTGGCACTGCGCTGCTCCGTGCTGGAGGCTGCCCCCGGGGCCCTCGGGCGACGGCGCCCGTCTCTCCTGGGCTGCGGTCCCGGCCCACGCCTGCCCTGCCCTGAAAGCAAGCTGTAAGGGCCCCTCCTTATCTGTGCAGCATGGAGGGGGGGGCTGGGGGGGAGGAGGTGGGGGGTGGGCAGCTTCTCTCCCCAGGCCCAGGGGAGGCGGTGGGGCAGAAGGGGGGCTCCTGCCTGCTCACCTGCTCTCGGAGAGGAGGAAGGGCCTGGGGGTCTCTGGGGCTTGGGGGGCAGGGGGCGGGACTCGCAGATGCAGCCCAAATAGCCCTTTGCGCTTCTTGATTTCCTTCCCGGAGATGAACCTGTGGGGCAGAGGAGAGAAGGGTTAGGCCACCATCGGGGCTGCAGCCCAAATGCTGCGGGTGAGACCCCCCCACGCCCCCATTCCGTCAGTGACACGCTTTGATTGACGGGCCACAGTGCAGTGAATGAGAACTAGATCCAGGCGCTCTCTGAGCCTGAACGGGGGGGGGGGCAGCTTTATACCTGAGGGGTTGGAAGCCCACCACTCGCCCTCACCCACCACCCTCTGGGCCCCCTTCACCGAAACACCCTTATTCTCTGCATTCACCCCGCTTGGTTACTGAACCGGCCCAACCTCAGGCACCCACAGGGCCCTGAAACTCCCCATAACTGTTTCTCTTACCCCCCCCCCATAAATTTATGGCAGATCAAACAGGACCAGGTGCAGAAGTGGAGTAATTTGCACAAAGCTAGGAAACGGGTTTCCCATTTTGGGGGCTCAAATTGCAGAGCAAAACCTCGGTGAAAACAAACATTCCTGCCCCCCCCAAAAGAGTAGCTCCCTCAGGATGCTGTGCGAATGGGGGGGGGCTTCATCTGAGCTGGGAGGGTCAACCCTGTTGGGGAGCAACTGTCCCTGTTGGGAGGAGGAGGAGGGGATCAAACAGGGAATTAGCCTGGAGTCTACACAGACATGAGATCCGGGTTGCCAACAGCCGAGCGAGGCCTACCTGTCCTTGTGGCCGGTCAGGGCACTCAGCAGCTGATTGTAGCGTTCCCCTTTGGGCGTCTCGGACAGCTGCAGCAGGGGCCAAGGAGGACAAAGACAATAAGCCACAGCCCTGCTCAACCGCCGACGCGAAACGCAGCCTTCCCCCCAAAAAACGGAGCCGTTGCGAGGCCGAAGAAAAGAGTTTAGCCAAGGGGCCCTGTAAGATGATGCCCCCCAGGCTGGCCTTCCCCCCTCCCAGGGTAGACGCCTTGCTCAACCAACGGGAAGACCTCGGTCAACCTCGGCCGTGAAGGCTAAGCTCATCCCTGACCTGGCTGAGGTCCCCAGGGTGGGTATACGGCACATATGGAATCCATGCTCCCAAAGGAGTGGCCGCTGGGATCAAAGGTCACCGGGGACCAAAGGGGGGGCTTATATCATGAAGGCCCACTGCCCAGCAGGCTGTCAGTTGCCTCTGGCACCACTGAGGTTTTCCGCAGGGAAAAAGCACCGAGCCAGGGACGTAATTTGGGGCAGGGGTAGCTAGCAGCACCCATATTGCTTCTCAGCAAACCCCCCCCCCTATTTAGTTCCTCGCATAACGCCCATGAGCACGCAGGAAGTCGCTGCCCCCGTTTCTTCAGAAGGGTCAGGAGCCAGGAAGTGATCTGCTGCGTGTCCACCCCAGCACGACGCAAACAGGAAGCCGAGGGATCCCCCCCCCTTTGTGTCCCCCCCAGGCCAGACCCTGCTCTGACCTCTCCCAGCAGGAGGCTGTCCCAGTTCTCGCTGGCGAAAGGCAGAATTTCTCGCTCAAAATCAAAATATTTCTTCTTGCAGCAGATGCTGAGGTGGTAGAGGATCAGGTGGGCCACGTCCACCCTGCAAGGCGCAAACACCAGCCTGAGAGACGCCCACCAGGCCGGGCCAAGCCCACAGCGGCACCAGCAGCCCCGGCAAGGAGCTGAAGGCTGGCGGGGCCGGCCTTTGCCCTCTGCGACCCCCCCCCCCGAGGAATCCACCCCCCTGGGGTCAGGGTCTGGCCTCAGCCTGCCATAGCTCCATTTATCCCCCAAGGCCAGAGACCGGATGCCCTGATAGGGCACCCCCAAACTGGCTGCCTCCGTCAGGCCCCAAAGCAGGAAATAGCAGCCACAGCCATCGGGAACATGGCGCCCTCTGCTGGCCGGGGAGGAAAAGAGCTGCCATCAGCCTGTGGCCCCGGAGCCCGAAAAACTGAGCCCGGCACAGACAACCTTTGACCGCAAACGAGGCCACTGAAAGGCTCAGCCAGAGGGGCAGCCCCTGGGGAGCGTCTACATGAGCACAAGCCCCAGAGCCCCCCAGGACAAACCCAGGAATGCCCCCGATCCAGGCCTCACCTTGGACGGAGGCACAGCAGCCACCCACACCGGGGTTGGGGACCTTTTGAGGGACATTTAGAGACCCCACCTCTTTTGCTTTTGGGGGGTTTCCCTGCATCCCCAGGCCAGGTGGGAGCCCGGCACGCTGCAGTGGAGAGGGCCGGGGGGCTCCCCTGCCCTCACCTCCCAGCCAGTCACCCCTGCCCCAGACTCACCAACGCAAGGGCAGGCGCTGAATGCTCTCGGGCCCCCCAGTGCAGACGCAGCACTCAAAGATGTAGAACCTGCCCGGGATGCAAGAGGTCAGCGGTGCCTGTGGTTGCCCCCCCCCACTGCGCCCCCTCCCCCCAGGCCTCTTGGGTTGGGGGGGCTCACCTGTCCCCGTAGAGGAGGGGCTTGCTCAGACACTGGGTGCAAGCCTCGTGGAACCACTGCCCACAGGGGCTGCACTGCAGCATTTTCAGGTTCCACCTGGGCCGGCAGGAGGGAAGGAAGGAGGGGGGGTCAGACTACGGCACGTGGGGGGGCTCGCCTCCCCCCCAGCCCCCAGCTCAGGGCGCTCCCCCATCCAAGTTCCGCTGACCCTTCCTGGGTCGCCCAGGACCCCCACTCCTCTTTCCAGGTAGGGCAGCCATCCTGCCCCTGCCGCCCCCCCCCCGAAGCCAGGCACGCACTCACTCGCCGGGGCCCCCGCAGTAGCAGTAGCACTGCTGCCGGTTGGTGAGGTGCTCGGCGTCCCACTCGAGCGACTTCAGCTGGTAGGGCAGCACCAGCTTCATGCCCAGCATGGCCTTGGCGTAGGGCCCCTTCTTCAGGGCCCCCCCGCGCTGCAGGGCGAGAGAGGAGAGCAGGGCAGACCTGGGGGGCAGGCGGGGGGGGGAGAGGGAGAAGAAGCAGGACCTCCCCCCAAGAGAGAGCAGGAGCACCTGGGGCGGCACGTCAGCCCCCCCCTCTGTGCCAGGAAGCAGGAAGACCCCCGACGCCGGCCGGCAGGGCCAAGGGGAGACGTTGCTTTGGGGGGGCCGAGAGGACCCGGCTGGCCCCCCCCCCCTCACCTTGGTGGCTATGGCGAAGACACACTGCCGGCAGGTCCAGGCGGCCTCGCTGAGCACGCGAGGCAGGTGGCATTCCTGGTGGTAGGCTGCAGGGGGGCACCCGAGCGGTTAAAGGGGGGCCTGAAGGAGGCACAGACCCCCCCACTGCTGCTCCCTCCCCCACCGGGGGGGGGGACTCACCGTGACTGCATTTCTCGCACCTGACCAGGCGGTTCTCAGGCCCAGAGGCCTCCGAGTGGCAGACGCAGCAGGTGGGCTCCTGGCCTGGGACCGCCGCTGCGGAGGGAGAGGGGTCAGCGGGCGCCAGGGAGGGGCTGGGGGGCGGTCAGCCCTCCCCCCTCCCCGGCCAGCGGAGGCAGCCCCTTCTCTTAGCAGCACCAACCCGGGTTAATGTCCTTCCACAGGACCAGGAACTGCGAGTCGTCCTCGAACTGCACCAGGCACACCTGCCGGAGGGCGTCCACCTGCGGGAGGGGGGCGGGGGAGCGGCGGGGTCAGCGGGCTCCGGCCGGGCCGGGGGCGCCTACTCCTCCTCCTCCCTCCCCTCCCGGGCCGCGGAGGGGGGGCGCCGCCCACCTTCTTGATGGTGCCCAGGTAGAGCAGCCCGTCGGTCCAGCGCGCCAGCACGTCCTGCCCTTCCCAGAAGCGGGGCCATCCGGCGGCGGCGCTGCCCGACGGGGCGGCGGGCCGGGCCGGGCGCTTCCCGGGGCCGGAGGTCAGGCGGGCGCTGCTGCTGCTGCTGCGGGTGCCGCGCGGGAGGGCGGCGGGGGGCTCGCTCGCCATCGCATCGCCCCCTCCGACGGGCAGGCCTGCGGGGGGGCAGAGCCGGGCAGGGCCCGGAGGGGCAAGGGAGGGGAGAGGGGAGGGCGGCGGGGGAGCCCCGAGGGTCGCAGGGGGAGCCGCCCGCTCGCCCGCTGGGTCCGGAGGGCTGTGGCGGGAGGCCCGCGCGTGTGACGCAGAAGCCGCCGGAGCCCCGGAGCGCCTTTCCGCGACCTTCGGGCCGGCCGGGCGAGGCGTCGGGGAGACCCCGCGGGGGAGGGGCTGCTTCTTTGCGGGCGGGGGGCGCGGGGGTCGCCCGGGCTGCACCGGTGGGGCTGCTGGCTGAGCTGCGCGAAAACGCCACCGGCCCCGCCCCTCTTCGGTCGAGAGGGCGGAGCCCTGGGGGAAGGAGCCCTCCGGCCCCGCCCCCGGGCGGGCCCCACCCCTCCGTCCCGGCTTGCCTGGCGCCCGAGCGGAGAGGGCGGGGCTTCCTCCCGGGCAGGCGAGGGCGCGCACGCACGCACGCCCGCGCGCCGTCAGGTCCGGCCTTCGAGGGGGCGGGGCCGAGGGGCTTCCTCACGCCATTGGTCGCCGGGCGGGGCAGGACCCACCGCGCCGCCGCCGGCAAGCCCATTGGCTGCGGCGCGCGCGGGGCCGGACGGGAAGCCCGTTCGAATCGCCCAGACGTTGCCGGGCGGCAAGAGGAGGCGGGAGCGCCGTGGCCGCCTCCTGCCCGCCTGTCCTCTGAACGTGCACAGAGCGCCGGTCGCCCCCGGAGCCTCTGGTGATGGACCGGGCGGCTCCCCGGCAGCCCCTCGCCTCAAACGCGGCCGGCGGAGACTCCCGGCTGCCCCGGCCGGGGCTGCGGGGAAAGCGCGCCGCCGCGGACGAGAACGCGCCCCCGGAGCCCCAGGTGAGCGTCGGGGCGAGGGGAGGGGAACGCGCGGAGGAAGGGGAGGGGCCGATTGGGGGTCGCCGCGCCCCTCTTCACCCTCCCCCTTTTCCCTCCCGCAGAAACGGGCGCGCACCGGGCCGGCGCCGGCAACGAAGGTCGCGGCGTCCCAAGCGACGAGCGCGGCCGAGGGAGGGTCCCGGCCCCGAGCGGGCCCCGCCGCCCCCCGCGGGCTCCTGCGCGTCACCGGTAAGGAGCCTCCCCACAAAAACCGGGACAGCCCCGGGAAGGGAGGGAGATGGGGTCAAAGGCTGGATTCTGGCCCCTGAACGGGTCTCTCTCTCCCCGCAGGACGACGCCGGTCCTCGGCCAGGGCGACCATCGCCGCCCTCCCGGCAGCAGGTGGGGCTTTCGGGCGGAGGGGGGGAGGGAGATTCCCCCGGGACCCCCTTGGAAGGTCTCACCCTGCGCGCTCTCTCCCCCTCCCCCTTTGCAGGGCTGAACAGCCGGACGGCTCCTGCAGCGCCTCCCAGACAAGGTAGAGCAGCCCCCTCAGCGCCTGCCCCCCCCTCCGCTTCCCTCGGGGAGGGCCTTGAGCCCCCTCCTCACCCTGGCTTTCTCCCCCCCCTCTGCCCAGGCCCCCCAGCCGGCCCCCCAGCCATCGGGCGGGAGAAGAAGCGAGCCCCCTGGGACCTGAAGGGGCAGGTGAGTGACCTGCACGCCAAGGTGGGTGTCTACAAGGAGAGGATCCAGGGCCTGCTGGGGGAGAACGAAGCCCTGAAGAGCCAGCTGGGGGGGCTGCAGCAGGAGCTGAAGGAGGCGACAGCCCAGAATGGAGAGCTCGGCGGCCGGGCCAGGTGAGGAGGAGGAGGGGGAGGCGGCCGAGGGGCTTTGAAGGGGCCTTGCCTGGCCGCTGCTCCTAACCTCCGGACGGCCTTTTGCAGCTTGCTGGCTTCGGAGCTGCAGGCCTGCCGAGACCAGGCCAGGGAGAGCGGCCAGAAAGTGTTGGAGCTGCTGGAGAAGGAGCGGCAGCTGGCAGAGACATGCCGGGCCCAGGCGCAGAGGATCGGGCAGCTGGAGGCCATCAACCAGGAGGTCACGGAGGGCAGCCGGGAGCTGACCGCCCAGCTGAGGGTCCGAGAGGTGAGAGAGATGGGCTGGGCTTTCCCGGGCGACTCCTGGCGCTTCGCTTGCTGCCCACGGCTGCCCTTTGCCACCCAGCGAGGTCCGAGGAGACGGTGGAGTGATGCCTCGGTCTGTGTCCTTCCGTCAGATAACAGAATCGAGGGCAATTCTGTTGGTTTGCTGTTCTGGCTTTATGGAGCCAGGTTTTGCTTAAGCACTGTGGACGCACACAACTCGCTGAATCCTTTGCCAGCGAGCAGTGACAGGTGGGGGGGAGGATAGGAGGACGCAGGGGCAGACGCCACACGCAGGGCTGCCCTTTCCTGAACCCGCTTCCCGTCTGGCCCGCGGTGCTCCTCTTGCTACGCCTGAGCCTCGTTGGTCGCTGCCTTTCCTGGGCCAAGCAAGCCTCAGCGAGGGGTGCAATGTTTTCATCCGGAGGGTGGTGGCTTCCAGGCCGGCCGAGTCTACTCTCCTCCCTCTGGCTCGGTCAGCTGGCCGGCTTCAGGCATTTGTTAGTGCGGCAAAGTGGCCCAGATTGGCACTTTGGGCTGGCTCATCTTAGATCTAGGCTTGAAGCTGGAGTTTGTGCCCCTTTTCTGCCCGGCTCTGCCGGCCTCCAATCTGCCCGCAGCTGGGTCACTTTCCCTCCTCCTGGCTGAGGCTGGGGCTGGGAAGGTTCCCCCCCTCCCTTTTTTGGAGGGGTGGGGCGAGTCTCAGCAGACCCTAACCCTAACCCTGCTGGCTGCCCAGGGGGAGCTGCTGGTGGCCGAAGAGGGCCTGGCCGAGCATCGGCAGCAGAACGAGACGCTGACGGCCCGCCTGGCGTTGCTGGAGGAACAGCTGCACACGGGCGAGATGGAGCGACGCTGCCTGCACAACGCCCTGCAGGAGCTGAAGGTGGGGAGGGAGGGAGGGAGCTGCCTCGGGGGAGGGGGGCTGCCTGACCACCCCACGCACACACATGCACTCCATTTGCTCTGCTCCTTCCAGGGGAACATCCGCGTCTTCTGCCGAGTGCGGCCCTTGCTGGCCAGCGAGAGGCAGGCTCAGAAGCCCCCCAGCCACCTGCGCTTCCCAGCCGACAACAACAAGGGCCTTGTGCTCTCCAGGGCGGAAGAGGTAGGTTTGCCCCTGCCAACACACACACACACACACACACACACACGGGGAGAGGGGTAGAGACCTACGCCCACCACATAGAGGGAGAATGTCGTCGGGAGGGAGGCAGGGGTGGCGTTTGGGGTGAACCTGGGGGGGGAGGAGGAATGAGTAGCTGAGTTTCTTGAGAAATACTTTGCCAAGAGGGGGCATCTCTCACAACACAGCCCTGTTTTGCCTCCCCCCCCCGGCAGTCCCACATTGGCCGGGAGCGCAAGGACGACATCAGCTACGAGTTCAGCTTTGACCGGGTGTTTCCCCCGTCCAGCTCCCAGGAGAGCGTCTTTGAGGAGATCTCCCTGCTTGTTCAGGTGGGGGGGGGTCAGAGGGCGGGTGGAGGGTTCCCCCGACCCTTGGCCGGGCACTCACCCTCCCGGGCGCTCTCTCCTCCTCCCGCCAGTCTGCCTTGGACGGGTATCATGTCTGCATTTTCGCCTACGGGCAAACGGGCAGCGGCAAGACGTACACGATGGAGGGCCGTGATGACCTGGGCCCCGAGACGGCAGGCATGATCCCTCGGGCCGTGCGACAGATCTTTGCGGCCTCCCGTGAGATGGAAGCCAAGGGGTGGAAGGTGAGGGGCAAGTGCACCCGTGTGTGTGTGGGGGGGTCCCTCTGGTTTACAGGGGGGCCTCTTGTAAATGGCATGCAAATCCTCCCCCCCCCGGCCAGCAAAGTCGGAAAATGAACCCCACGGTTTTCTGGGCCGGGCTGAGCCCACTCCCCACCCGCTGCTTTTTTCTGAGCCCACTTCCCCCCTCCCCACCTTCTCCCTCCCACCAGTACCAGTTCACAGCCAACTTCCTGGAGATCTACAATGAGACGCTGCGGGATCTTTTGTCGCTGCGGCCAGAGCAGAATGGGGAGCTGGAGATCCGAAGAGTGAGCCAGTTCACGGAGGAGCTGCACGTCCCCAACCTCTCCTACATGCCCGTCTCTTCTGAGGAGGAGGTATCATGCACACCCTCCCCTCAAAGGAGACAGATGGGCTTGGGGGTCCCTCCTGTGCCTCTTTCTCCTCCCCACAAGGCCTCTGCGACCAGCCCAGCAGCCCTCACTCACACCTTCCCTGCCCTTTCTCCAGGTCCGGAGGCTGCTTCTGACGGCCCAAAGCCACCGCTCCGTGGCCAAGACCAACCTGAACGAGCGCTCCTCCCGCAGCCACAGCATCTTCCAGCTCCGGGTGGAGGGCAGCAACGCCAGGCGGGGGCTGCACACCTCCTGTGAGTGTGGCGACCTGGGCGGGGAGAGGGCAGACGCCGAGAAGTCCAGGCCCCTTGTGGGGCCAACACACACAGACAACACACACTGCTTCGGACCTGACCTGCTCTCCTTGGGCCTGCAGCCGTGCTGAGCTTGGTGGACCTGGCGGGCAGCGAGCGGCTGGACAGGTCTCTCTCCACAGGGGAGCGGCTGAAGGAGACCCAGGCCATCAACACCAGCCTCTCGAACCTGGGCCTGGTCATCACCGCCCTCAGCAACAAGGTAGGGGGGGGGATCCTGCGACCCCCTCTGTGTGTGCGCGTGCGTGTGTGTGTGTGTGTGTGTGTAAAGGAAATGGCTGGGGGTCCAGAGGGTCCTCCCTCATGCCTCCCTCCCCGTCTACACCCCCTCTTCCTCCCCCCATGCAGGAGGCCCACATCCCTTATCGCAACAGCAAGCTGACATACCTGCTGCAGAACTCGTTGGGCGGCAGCTCCAAAATGTGAGTGGCTTTGGTGGGGGGGGAGGGCGGAATGGAGCAGGGAGGGAGGGGGTTGTCCTGGGAGTCCCCCCCCCAAACACACGCACACTCACTCAGGGCCTGCTTTGTCTCCTCTTCTTCCCCCCCCCCCCAACCCCAGGCTGATGTTTGTGAACATCTCCCCTCTGGAGGAGAACTTTGCCGAGTCCCTGAACTCCCTCCGCTTCGCTAGGAAAGTGAGTGGGGGGGCTGCATGGGGGGGGGAGCCCTGGGGGAGGAGGGGCAAAAGCGGCTGAGGAACCCCCCCCTTCTCTCCCTCTTGCAGGTGAACGAGTGCGTCATAGGCACGGCCTCCAGCAACCGGAAGTGAGGGTCTCCGCACGCCCCTCCCGGCTACCCGTGTTCGTGTTTTTTAATTGTTTTACCGCTTTGTGTCCCGTGTGTGTTTGTGTGTCTCGTTTGTGTAACTTTCTTGAATAAAAACGGGCGGATTGCCCAGCCGAGCCCAGCGCTTCCTCCTCTCCTTCCCCGGGTCTTGCGGGGGAGGGGCACCAGAGGTACCGGGGGGGGAGGGGGCGAGGGCAGGAAACCCGGAAGCGCCGAATTCTTGTGCTCTCACGGCCAGGCGGAGGAGCATGCGCAGTGGTCGCCTGCGGTGGACGGGCGAGGGCGGCGCTGTTGTCCCCCACCCGCGTACTCGAATAGCACGGACAGCGCAGCCGCAACAGAAAAAAAAAGCTCAGCCCTTCCAGGGGGCGTGGCTTCGGAGCTTCAGTAGAGGACATCCGGTCACGTGCCGGGAGACGCCGGGCACCGCTTTCCCCCCAGTACGGGAAGATGACGCCCAATCGCGGCGGGAACCGAGGAGGACGAAGGAGCCGATGGCCTCCCGGCGGGGAGACACCGGCGCTGCCGCTTCAGGAGACGCGCGGCGCGGAAGGAGGCCGACGGCGCCTCCTCCCCAAGCCATACAAGAAGATGGCGGCGCGGGGCCTCCGCTTCCGGTCCTGCGCAGTGGGCGCGGAGGCAAGAGGCGAGTCCTGGGCGAGGCGAGCGGAATCGAAACTCGAGGCGCGGGAGGAGCGGCCGTCGCGCTCGCCCCCCTCAGGAGGAGACCGGACGGGGCGCCGCCGCCTCTTCCCCGCCGCCCTCCCGCCCCGCCGGCCATGAGCTCCCCGCCGCCCGCCTGCATCATCGTCCTGGACGAGGACAGCGACCCGTCCCCGCCGCCGCCCTCCGCCTCCGACGCCCCCGCCGGCGAGCCCTCCCCGGGGCCCCTGAACGGCAGCGCCGGCGAAAAGGGGCTCCGCGCCGAGAACCAGCGGCTCTTCCGGGAGGTGAGACGGGGGAGGGGAGAGGAAACGGCGCGGTTCTCCCTCTTCCTCCTCCTCGGACCGTTGGTAGGCCCCGTCCGGGGAAGTCCGGGCTCTCCGCCTCCCTTCCAGCCGGCCTCTCCCGAGGGAGGGAGGGAGGGGAAGCGAAAGCAGGAAAGGCCCCCTCCCCCTCCCGTGGCTGCTGTTGTGGGACCCTCGGGGGCACCTCAAAGATCATCCAGTCCAACTCCCTCGTCCCTGAGGGACGCAGACCCCACCGCCAGGCCCGGAGGGTCGCTCAGGGATCTCCCCCCTCCCTTTTTTTGGAGGAGGCACAGCAGCCTCCCCCCAGCCAGCCGGTGGGTGGAGGGGTTGGGGGCTTCCCTGGAGGCTTCCCCCATTTCCCAGAATCGCCCCCCCCTCCATTCGGGAATTGCATGGCAGCCGCCTGGATGAAAGTCAGAGACACACCTTTTGTTGTTTTATATATTTATACATTTAACATTTACATTCCCAGCAGACAAGATAGGAACGTAGGAATAGAATAGAACAGAGCTGGAAGGGACCTTGGAGGTCTTCTAGTCCAGCCCCCTGCTCAAGCAGCAGACACACCTAGACCAGGGGTAGGCAACCTTGGCTCTTTTATGACTGGCTCAGGAATTCTGGGAGTTGAAGTCCACAAGTCCTAAAGGAGGCAAAGTTGCCTACCCCTGGCCTAGACCATCTCCGACAGGTCCAGGCTCTTCTCAAAAAACCCCAGCGATGGAGCGCCCATGATTTCTGGAGGCAACTTCTGTTCCACTGGTTGATTGTCCTCCCTGTCAGGAAGTTTCTCCTTACTTCCAGGTTGCTTCTCTCGTTGGTCAGTTTCCATCCGTTGTTTCTTGTCTGCCCTCTGGTGCTTTGGGGAACAATCTGGCCCCCTCCTCTTTGGGGCAGCCCTCAAATACTGGAATACTGCTATCATGTCTCCCCTATTTCTTGTTTCGTTCAGACTAGCCTAATCCAAGTCCTGCAGCCGTTCTTCATATGTTTTGGTCTCCAGGCCTTGGATCCTCAACTCTCGACATCTTTTTGTGTTATGGTGACCAAAATTGGCTGCAGTATTCCTGTTGTGGTCTTACTAGGATTTTATAAAAGCGGTACTAATACATTGCATGTTCTTGATTCTTCGCCTGTTTATACAACCCAGGGTTGTGTTAGCTTTTTTGGCTGCTGCTGCTGCACACAGCTGGCTCATGGTCAACAGATCGTCCACTAGGAGTCCAAGGTCCCTCTCACAGTTGCTGTTTTTAAGCCAGGTCTCACCTAATCTGTACTTGTGCCTTTGATTTTTTCTGCCTAAATATAAAACTTTGCTTTTCTCCCCATTAAAATTCATGTTGTTGGGTAAGGCCCATTGTTCAGGTTTCTCAAGATCTTTTGGGATCCTGACCTTGTCTTCTGGGGTGTGGGCTGCTCCTGCCAGTTTAGTGTCATCTGCAAATTTGATGAGTTCCCCTTCAATTCCCTCGTCTAAGTCCTTTATGAAGATGTTGAAGAGTTTACTGGGCCTAAGACAGAGCCTTGTGGTTCCCCACTGCTTACTTCTCTCCATGTGGATGTGGTGACATTGAGGGCTACTCGCTGAGTAAGGCTTTCCAGCTAGCTACAGATCCATCTGGTGGTGATGTTGTCTGTCCCACCTTTTTCTAGCTTACTAAGCAGCAGGTTGTGGTCTACTTTGTTAAATACCTTACTGAAATCTAAGTCTACTATGTCCACAGCATTTCATTGGTCTACTAGTTTAGTCACTTTATCGAAGAATGAGATAAGATTGGTTTGGCATGATCTGTTTTCAACAAACCCATGCTGGCTACTAGTTATGACTTTGTTTGCTTCTAAGTGTTCACAGATCCGTTTTTTGATTATCTTTTCCAGGATCTTCCCAGGTATTGTTGTTAGACTAATTGGTCTGTAGTTTCCTGGGTCTGTTTTTTCTCCTTTCTTTTTCTTGAATAACAGCATGAGGGAAATGTCAGATGGCACACATAACACACAGCAGAGGGAAAAGGTGGGGGCGGGAAAGGGGGAACTGCCCCCTTTACACCCGCAGCAACCGATCATTGTGCAGATCAGGGGTCCGTGAGTGCCACCACCCCGGTCTGTGGACTGCCACCGGTCCGCAGCATGGCCAGAAACCGGTCCGCAGAAAGAAGCAAAGCATCGCACCCGCAGAATGCAGGCAGTGCATGAAAGCCCCCCGACACACACACCCCTCTGATCCATGGCAAAGTCTCTCTCCATGGAACCAGGTCCCCAGTGCCCCAAAGGTTGGGGGGACCGCTGGCGCAGATCGTCTCACGCGAGAGCCAGCCACCCTCCAACCCATCAACTGCCACGGCGTGCGGTTCTGGCCCGTGGCACACTTTGCTCTTCTGGCGACTAGATGGCGCCTCCTGACGGGGTCTCCTCAGTTACCAGCACTCCACCACCTCCGGAGGCGCAGCCCTACTTTACAGCCTCCTTTCTCTGTTGGTGCCTCTTCCAAATTTCTCTCTGTGGGATTTTGACCTTCTCCCCCCACCCCTCCGATGGCCGCTGTCCTTCCCTAGTGGGGTCCAGGGGCTTCTGTGCCCTTTCACTCTGTCAGGGCGTTGGGCAGCGGCTGTCCGAATGAAGCCGGAGACGCCGACACAAACTCGTATTCTATGGGTAGATGTATTTAACATTTACAGCAGACGAAAGATATTCAGGAACACACAAACTTTGTGAGGTAAATCTCAAGCAGCATACAGAGCACGCCCCCCCCCAAAAAAGGCGGGAAAAAAGGGAACCTCCCTCTACACCCGCAGCAACCAATCACGGTGCAGATTGCCTCACGCAAGAGCCAGCGCTCTCCAACCAATCAATTGTAACTAAATTTAGTATCCTGACAGACAAATTTCTCCTCACGTGGGGGGGGCCTTCTGGGGGGACCTCGCCTTCCAGCCCAGCTCCCATTTTGTTCCTGACGAGAAGCTGTGGAGCCGGCAAGGCCAGCCTGGCTTTTCCGTGAGCGATGCCTCTCCTGCCCCCTTTCCCCTGCAGTTCGTGGCCTTCTGCTCCAAGCACACCGAGGACCACCCTGAGGTCATCGCCTACCTGTCTGGCCGGCACCAGAAGACCAGCCCGGAATACCTGGCCTCCGTGGAGTTCCGCAACGTCCTGAGCCGCTGCTTGACACGGGTGCAAGCCAGGAGAAACAAAATCTACGTCTACATTAGAGAACTCTCCACCGTCTTCCGGGCCCATTCGCAAAGGAGAAGGGCTGCGGCCACCAGCCCCGTCGCCGCCCAGGATGCCCCCGCCACCGCCCCTGCCTCCCAGACGCCCTCCGAGCCCGCCAAGCCTTGCGTGGGCTCCAAGCGGCAGATCCGCTACCTGGAGAAGCTGCTGCGGGTTTACGCCAATGAGATCCAGCGGCTGCAGGAACAGGAGCTGGACTTGACGGAGTTGGACAGCCAGGATTCGGCCTACTTGCAGGAGAGCCGCCTCAAGCGCCGGCTGATGAGCGTCTTCAAGCGCCTCTGCCAGCTAAAGGACTGCAGCAGCCTGACAGGCCGCGTCATCGAGCAGCGCATCCGCTTCACCGGCACGCGCTACCCGGAGGTCAACCGGCGCATCGAGCGGCTCATCAACCAGCCGGACGCCTTCCCGGACTTTGCCGACATCCTCAAGGTGGTGCAGGCGGCCAGCGCCCGTCACAGCCTGGGGCTGCCCAAGCACCAGATGGAGTTCATGGCCCGCGACGCCTTCCACAACGTGGGCGCCCGGCTGCAAGAGCGGCGTCACCTTGACCTGGTCTACAACTTCGGCAGCCACCTGACCGATCAGTACCGGCCTAGTGAGTGCTGTGGAGGGGAGGAAGCCCGGGGCCCAAGGGGACTCTTGGCGGCCCCTGGTTTGACCCAGGGGAAGTGCTGGCTTGGGATGACCCCCATTGTCGCCCCCAAATTCAACCCCAGGAGGCCTATTGTGCCTGACGATGCCAATTCCAGTCTTGTTTGGGGCGGTCCTGGGGGCCCCCAGTTGGGCACACAAAGGAGGCACCCGGCGGTTCTTGTTTCTTGACTGTCGGGAAGGAAAAAAGGCTAGACTCCTGCCTGGGGCTGCTGTGGGTCCTGCCTAAACCTGTTTTCCAGACTCACCTGTTCTGCCTAAACAAGCCCGGATGAAACAGGGGCTGCACAAACACCTGAGATTCGTTCAGGTTAAGGCTGACCAAGCCCTTGGCTGATAATCCCAGCCCACAATCCCTGCCCCACAAGAGCTTGAGCCCACACACCCACCTCTCCCTCTTAGACCCCCCCCCTTGCCCATCTCGTCCGGGGGGGGGGAGGTACAATGGTGCTGTACTTCGTCTGGGGACTTCTGGCAAGAATCCTGGGTGGGCCTTTGAGCGGAAACTGAGCGGAAGAGGCACCCAGCTGTGCCCCACCAAAGCACCTTGGCCATGTGGGGGGTGGGTGGGCTGAGGCTGGGATAGACCCCAGCGGGTGAGGTTTGGGCAGGAGCCCATCAGGTGAGGGAAGGGCTGGTTTTCCAGCTTGGCTGCTGGCCCCAGGCCCTTAGATTGGGGCTCCTTTGCCATAGCCCGCCCCCCCCCCACGGGGGCCGGAGGAGGCTCTCCAGGACCAGACCACCTTTCCAGAGGCTTGGAGAGAATCCAGCCTTTCAGGGGGGCTTTGTCACGCCCCCCTATTTTCCAAGGGCATCGCCACGATCCTCCACGGAGGGGAGCACCTTGTCCCGGGGCGGGTGGGGGGCAGGCGGGCTCCCCCTCACCACACCTGTCCTTCTCCCGCCCGGCAGACACTGACCCAGCGCTGGGGGACCTGGAGTTGGCCCGGAGCCTGCAGCGCAACCAGGCGCTGGGCGTGCAGCGCCTGGAGGAGGTGATTACCCAGTTCGCTCAGCTGCAGGACAAGAACGAGGAGGAGCAGCTGGGGGGGAGGGCCCCCCGGCAGGACAGCGGAGGGGCCCAGCCCAGCAGGGCCGCGGAGGGGGAGCCAGCCTCCCCGAAGGAGTCCGGCTCGGGGGCAGCCGCCAAAGAGGTAAGGGAGGGCAGGAGGCCGTGGAGCCCTCGGCAGCCCCTGTGGGGACCTGGAGCTGGGGGCATCCAGAGGGCCAAGCACTCGGTGCGGCACGGGGACTTGGCACCCCCTCCTCCCTTTGAGGGGCCTGCAGAGCTCACCAGAGGGGTCACATCAATGGGGGGGCTCTTGGGCTGAAGGAGGGCCCTTGGGTCTGGCCCAGTATCCCAGCCCCTGGGGCACACTCACAAAATGGCTGCAAAGGCCAGGCCCCCTCACCCCAAAGAGGGTAGAGATGGTGCGAAGGAGGGGATGAATCTGGCTCTTCCCAGACCCAGTGGCCTCCCGATTCGGCCCGCCTCGCAGGGCTAAAGTATCCAATTCCCTTGTTCTGTTTGTGTGGGGGGGGGGAGATCCTCTGGTCGCCATGGGGCACCCAGGGCCAGTGGAAACCCACCCACCCCACCTCTTCACTAGGACAGCGCAGGCCCCAAGGAGGCCGGTAAAGGAAAGGGGTCATGGGAAGAGGAGGAGGAGGAAGAGGAGGAGGAAGAGGAGGAGGAGGAAGACTCCTCGGAGTCAGACCTGGACGCAGAGCTGGCCCACTGCCTGGTTGGCGGAGAGGAGGAGGAAGAGGAGGAGGAGGAGGAGGAAGAATTGGCAGCGGCAGGTACCCTTGGTGGGTGGGTGGGGGGCTAAAGTGGCACCTGGGGGGGGGGCTGCCTTGTCTCGCAGACTCCTGCTTCATTCATGTGGCAATGAGTTCTGCAGGTTCAATCTGCATTGATACCCTGGAGGTGTCTTCTGCCAGCCCCACAGTTCTGGGGGAAGGGGGGGCTCTTGCCAGCCTGCCGCCCTCCCCTTCCCACACTTCCTGCCCTCCCTCCCCCCCTGCAGGTGAGGACCCCCCTGCTGTGGACCTGGAGGAGGAGGACTGCCCTCCCCAGCATTTGCTTTTGCAGATCACGGAGGCCGGGCTGCTGGAGGGGGAGGACAGCCCAGCCCCATCCCCCTGCCCGCTTCCGGAGCCCGCCCGGCCAGCCCCCGGGGCTCCCCTGCCCCCCAAGCGCAGCCACTCGCTGGAGAACGGGGAGCTCAACGGGCAGCCGCCCAGCAAGAGGAGCCGCGGTTGGGGGCAGACCCCGGTTTCCAGCAGGTACGGGGTGGGGGGTTTGGGGGGGAGAAGGGTGGGGGGCACCCCCCATCTCTCACGCTGGCCTCTCTCCCTGCCAGCACCAGCACCAGCACTGGGGAGGGCTACATCCAGGTGCCCAGCTCCTGCTCAGAGGAGGAGGAGGAGGCAGAGGCGTGGCCGCCCCCCCAGAGCCCGGCCCCCCTGGCCGACTCCACCCGCCCGGACTCCCCCGGCCTGGCTCTGGTCTCCAGCAGCCAGGGCAGCCCCCGCCCGGGCCCCCCGCAGCAGCACCAGCCCTTGCCGGAGAAGGAGCAGCTACTCGCCAGGGTGGGTGCTGGGGGGAGGGGAGGGGCTCAGGTGGGGAGTTGGGGGAGGCAGGGGTAGGGGAAGGGGAAGGGGCTCAGGTGGGAGTGCTGGGGGAGGCGGTAGTGGGGGAGGGGCTGCAGGTGGGGCTGCGGGGGAGGGGAGGGGCTCAGGTGGGGAGTTGGGGGAGGCAGGGGGGTGGGAGTGCTGGGGCGGTGGGGGAGGGGCTGCAGGTAGGGGTGCAGGGGGAGGCGGTAGTGGGGGAGGGGCTGCAGGTGGGGGTGCAGGGGAGGCGGGGTGGGGGGAGGGGCTGCAGGCTGGGCAGCAGCTTCCCCTCTGGGAGCTAGACGCGGGGGGGGGGAGGACTGCTGGGGGGGGCCGCTGACCGCTCTCCCTCTCTCCCCCCCCCCCCCAGAACAGCGTGGCCACCCAGTGCGACCCGGAGGAGATCATCGTCCTCTCCGACTCGGAGTAGCCGCGGCCGGCCGGAGGACTTTCTACGCGGGGGGAGGGAGGGAGGGAGGGAGGGCGGGGAGAAGGGGCGGGGCGCGGATGGAGAATAAAAGCGACTATTTTTCTGCACGGAGCCCGCCCGCAGCCTTCTTTTTCCCGCGGGGGGAGAGGGAGGTCGAACGAGGGAGGGGGAAAACGGGGAGGGCCTCCGACTGGAGGGGCGGGGCGGCGCGTGCGCAGAAGGCGCGGCGGGCAGCGACCGGGGCGGGCGCCGGTGAGCCCCGGGGCCGAGGGCGGCATGGCGGCGGAGGCCGGGGCGGTGCAGGTGGCCTTCCCGGAGGCGACGAGCGCCCTGCTGGAGGCGCTGAACCAGCAGCGGCTGGAGGGGCAGCTGTGCGACCTGGCCATCCACGTGCAGGGCCGGGTCTTCCGCGCGCACCGGGCGGTGCTGGCCGCCTGCTCGCCCTACTTCCACGACCAGGTGCTGCTGAAGGACATGAGCTCCGTGGTGCTGCCCAGCGTGATGGACCCGGCCGCCTTCGAGCTGGTGCTGGGCTCGGCCTACACCGGCCGCCTCCGCATGGGCCGCGACGAGATCGTCAACTTCCTGACGGTGGGCAGCGTCCTGCAGATGTGGCACATAGTCGACACGTGCACGCAGCTGCTCAAGGAGCGACAGCGCCGCCCGGACCGCGCCGCCGCCGCCCAGGCCTCCTCCTCCTCCGGCTCGGGCGCCTCCCGGGGCTCCGGCGGGCGCGGCGGCGGCGGCGGCGGGGAGAGCCAGTCGCCCAGCAGCAGCAGCTACTTCAGCCCCCTCCGCGACGGGCCCGAGCAGCCCCGGGGAGGCGGCGGCGGCGCCCGCGGGGGCGGCGAGCGGGACGAGGACGGGCTCTGCCGGGCCGCCCCCCGACGCCGCCCGCCCGACCCCGCCGCCCGCGCCGGCAGGAGCGCGCCCGAGCCTGACGACGGCGCCCCCGGGGAGCCCGGCAGCAGCGAGGCCCGCCGACCGTCCTCCCTGCGGCCCGGCCTCGTCCCGCCGCGCCAGTGGCTGCCGGTGAAGAAGGAGCGCGGCGGGCTGGAGGAAGAGGAGGAGGAGGAGGAAGACGAGGAGGAGGAAGAGGAGGACCTGGTGCTGACCTGCGAGGAGGACGAGGAGGCGGCCGAGCCCGCCGCCGCCCTGAGCATCAGCGACGTCCGCACGCTCAGCGGGCCGCCGCCGCCGCCGCCGGAGGAGCAGGTGAACTTCTGCGAGTCCTCGCAGGACGTGGCGGCCGCCTTCGAGGAGCCCTTCCCGCCCCCCCGGCCGCTCCTGCCGCTGGACGTGCGGGGCCCCCCGCTGCTGCTCTTCCCGGGGGCGTCGGGGGCGCCGTCGGCCGTCGGGGCTGCCCCGCCGTCATCGGTGGAGCACGGGGCGGTGCAGCTGTCGGGGGGCTCCGGGGAGGGCAGCAAGATCTTCCTGTGCCACTGCGGGAAGGCCTTCTCGCACAAGAGCATGCGCGACCGGCACGTCAACATGCACCTGAACCTGCGGCCCTTCGACTGCCCCGTCTGCAACAAGAAGTTCAAGATGAAGCACCACCTGACGGAGCACATGAAGACCCACACGGGCCTCAAGCCCTACGAGTGCCACGTCTGCGCCAAGAAGTTCATGTGGCGCGACAGCTTCATGCGCCACAAGGGCCACTGCGAGCGGCGCCACCGCCTGGGCGGAGGAGGAGGAGGAGGGGGGCCCGCTGCCCTCTGCGGGGGGGCCAAGAAGGAGGAGGAGGAAGGGGCGTCCCCCTCCTGCATCCCCGGAGAGGCCGACTGGGCCACGGGCCGATCCCCCCGCAGCGAACTGGGCTTTGCGGGCAGCAGCAAGATGTGAGCCGTGGAACTGACGCCTCCCTTGCGAGGAAGGCCCTCCTGGCCCTTGGATGAGCTTCTTCTCTGGAGGGGCCCTGCGGACTCTCCTGGGGAGTCTGGTTTCTGCAGGGTGGGGGCTGCAAAGGGCTCCCATCTCCACACACACACACACACACACACCCCAGTTTGGCTTGGTCTTCCCATCATGCAATGGGCCCGTCCCTAGGAGGGAGTCTCTTTTCCTCTAGAGCCAGCCAGGTGGGGGCTGCCCCACGCCCTCCCTTGCACCCCCTGGCCTAAATCCCTCTTGTGGGAGAAGAGAGTGACACTAAAAGCCCCCCCCCGACCCATTTGCAGAGCAGGGGGGTTTTCTCATTGATGTAACAGCCGCTTCCTCTCCCCCTGCCTCCCCCTCCCCCCTTTGTGTCTGCTTTGGGGTGCAGACTTTTTGGCAAGAGCCCCTCCTTCCCCCCCCCCAGGGCGGTTTCCAGGGGACGGTTCTGAGATATCCGGATGCTTGACTGTGTGCCCATAGAACACACACACACACACACACACACACACACACACACACACACACTGAGCTTTGGAGGGGAACTTACGACAGTCCTGGATACACCTCCCCCCCTCAAAAAAAAACCTGGAGACAAGGAGAAGCCCCCTCCCTCCCTCCCTCCCTTGGTTCCTTTGGTCGAGATGAAAAACGTCCTTCAATTTGGTTTCCGCCTTTTTCTAAAGGAAAGCCAGAAATTCTCTTATAAATATTTATTGCTGTTTAACGCCATGCCTGGCGTGGATCTGTGCTGGCTCCGTCCTGGAGAGGTGGGGGGGGCAACAGGTGCAGGTGAGCTGTGTGGGGTGGAGTCCCGGCGGGGGGGCTCTCCTCGCCCCATAGTTGCTGCCCCCCCCATTCCAAGCATGCTCTGCCTTCAATCTTAGCTGGATCCGAGGAACTGGCCCTGAAGCCCCCGTACCCCGATTCTGGTCCTGGTTGCATCTGGCCTTGAAGCAGCTCCCATTTAGGGACCTGAGCCTCACCTAGCGGGAGCCCCCTCCCCTCCTCTTGGCTCAGGGCAGTGCAGAGAAGGGGGGGAGCTCCAGGCATTGGGCGATCTCACCCATCGGGTGATAAGAGGCAATCCGTTCAATCAGCCATGGGGAGCTACAGCGGCCTTGTAAAAAATTGACTTACGGCCCTTTTCCAGGCTTGCCACCGTTGCATCATCCCCAGGGTCCCGGGGCCAGAATTCAGGCGCTCGGCAACTGACCCACGTTTGTGATGGTCCTGGGGTCCCCCTTTTCCTACCTTATTATTGAGCGAAGTCAAGAGTGGAATCAGGTTCACAATTGTAGCAAGAGAGGTTGTAAAATGAGACAAAATCCACTTAACTGTCTCACTTAGTGGCAGAAATGTTGGCCACCATAAGTGAAGGACTTCCCGCATAGCATCGCTTTCATTATTATAACAATGATTCAGGTTTTGGCTTAATGTCATGGTTCTGACAGATTTATTTTATTTATTTTATTTTTAAAATTTATAAACCGCCCCACTCCTGCAGGACTCCGGGCGGCTAACAATAAAAACACCATATAACATGACAAAACAAACAATACAATAACAGTCATCCAGGGGTCAGATTTTATAAACCCCAGGTCTGCCAGAAAAGCCAGGTCTTAAGCAGCTTGCGGAAAACCAACAGGGTGGGAGCGGTCCTAATCTCCGGGGGGGGGGGGAGCTGGTTCCAAGATGAAACCCTTCAAAAGAACTTTGAGGCATAGTTTACCCGAAAGAATCTTTTATTCGGGAAACAAAGCATTGGCACTACATAGTTAAAAGCCAAAAACTGAACCCCCCCCCCCCAAAGTAGCAAAGCATGATTCCCTCCTCCAATTAACAGTCATAAATCACATTCCCCAATTAGCTTGAAGTAGTGGGCTTCCTCTCCAGCTCTCCAGCCAAATCTTTTATCAGCTCTGGGCTCAATGCCCTTGGATTCCCACAGCTGAGTTGTTGTTATGACTGGCTGGACTCTCATCCACATCCCCCCCTCCCAGCATCATCTAACTCTACAAGCGAAAGAGAAAAGATGGCTACATTTCCATCTGTTGTCAAAGCAAGAACATCCGATATTAGCAGTGTTGACTAATAATAATAATAATAAAGCTTCCAACTTGGAGGTCATCTAGTCCAACTCCCTACACCAGGGGTAGGCAACCTTGGCTCTTTTATGACTCGTGGACTTCAACTCCCAGAATTCCTGAGCCAGCTGTGCTGGCTCAGGAATTCTGGGAGTTGAAGTCCACGAGTCATAAAAGAGCCAAGGTTGCCTACCCCTGCCCTACACCATTTCAGAAAGATGGGTGTTCAGAAAGATGGGGCTGGGCCAGGAGGGGCTCCAGAAGGCCATGAAGCTGAACGTGGCAGGTAGGCGCAGGGGAGGGGCCCGGCCACGTGTGGGGGGCTGCACGGAGGGGGGTGGAGGGTGTCCTCCCCCCTGGAAGAAGAGCGCAAGGGCCAACTGAAACTCCGTGCCCCCGCCCAAAGTGAGGGGGGGACCCAGGGCCAGACTCAAACAGCCCGGGGCCCACCGCCCCCAATCTAGAGGGGGTAGAACTCTTTGGGCCCACAATGAAAAGTGGCTTAGGTGTGGGAGGCACTGCTCCCTCTTGGCGCCAGAGACAAGCCAAATATTAGGGGGTGCCAGCATCAGCTAGCCTGCAGGAGGTCTCAAGAGCAGCACTTGTGTGAACCTGTGTCTGTGGGGGAGGTCAGATCCTGCAGGCCAAATCACGGAATCAACGGGGGGGGGGGTGTCTCAGAGAACGGTCAGCCTGGGTGGGCAATGGAGCTCCATTAAAAGGCCCACGGTGGTAGCCCCCCCCCCGGACAGCTGCTGGCCTTTAAGAGAACCTCTGGGCTGTCACTGAGGGGAGGGGTGTCTGGGACCAGGGGGGCTCATACAGCTGCTACGTGAGCCACGTGGGGCTGGGCCAGGAGGGGCTACAGAAGGTCATGAAGCTGAACGTGGCAGGTAGGCGCAGGGGAGGGGCCCGGCCACGTGTGGGGGGCTGCATGGAGGGGGGAGTGGAGAAGAACGCGAGGGCCAACTGAGGGGAGGGGGTGTCTGGGAGAGCCTACCCCCTTCCGGGGGGGGAAGTTGATGTCCATTTCCGGGCCTCCCCCGCCTCCCTCCCATTCCAGGGTCTTCGCTCCCCTCCGTGGAGGACGCCATTGGCCTCTTCCTGGTCACTTTCCTGCTGCTGGGCTGCCTGCAGATGCTTTCCCAGCGAGGTGAGTGAGCAGCGACTGCCGCCCCCCCATCCCCGCCCCCCCCCTGCTCCCTGACTGGCCGTCTTTCTCCCTGGCAGTCTTCGGAGAGAAGAAGGAGACGGCCGAGCCGAGCGCCCAGGGCCCTCCTCCGCCCGAAGACCCTCCGGCCGCGGCTTCTCCGCCCGAGCAGGGCCAGGGGGCCGGCAAGCGGAAGCCCTCTGCAGCCGGGTCCTCGTCGCCGGAGCCCACCCCGAAGTGACCGCCCTGCCAGGGGATGGAGCCTCCCTCTGGATCCTCCCGGAAGGGCTGCAGATGAACGGGGTGGGGTGTTGGGAGCCCCCCCTTCCCCCTGTGGATCTTAGTTGGCAATTGGGGAGGGGGTGCTGAATTTGCTTAGAGTGCCTGTCTGACCTTCCCGCCTGTTCCCTCTCCCTCCCACCCCCTTGGCAAGATGGGGGGCCTCCCTACCTGTTCCCGGGGCCCCTGGGAGGGTCGGGGCCCTGCCCTCGCTTCTCCCCCCGGACGGCTTCCAGAGCAGGGTCCTGTGTGGCCGGCCTCGTGCAGACCCCCTCCAAGTGCTGGATTGGGGGGGCTCTTAGAATAACGGAGCCAGCCTGGCCTGCTCTGGGCCCCCAGGGGGGAGGCCTTGAAAAGCCCGCCGAGTTCCCCCCCCCGCATATGTTGGTTCCCCCTGCAGTGTGAGCCCCTTTCCTAGTACTGAAGGGGCTCCCTTAGTTGGGGTGGGGGGACTTTTCTGCCGCCCCCCCCCCCAGAACTGCAAGACCGACTTGGCCAGGGGCTGATCACACAACCGAAGCGTGTGGCTTCCTGTCCTCGCGGAGTCCTGCGTGCCAATCGATCCCAGGAAGATGCTTTGGGAGAGGGGGTAAGCAGCTCCCCCCATTGCAGGCTGCCAGGCATGGAGGAGACCCCGGCCAAAAGGAGACAGGAGCCCCCCTGCACCCTCTCGTCCCCCGGAAGATCCGGTCCTGTCAGCAACCGAAGAATTTTCCTGTGGTGCCACTACCCACACAGACCATCCCCCCTCCCAAGGTGGTGGGGCTCCTGGCCGCTGCCCCCTGGGCCGCAGGGTGCTACTCCCCCATCCCATGCCTGTTGGGGTTCGCCTGCTGTCGATTGTTGGCTGCTTCCCTTGCTCTGCGCATCGGCTTATAAAGATTTCCTTTTCTACGTGTCGTGTGATTGGAGGTCTTTGGGGTGCGGGGGGAGAATGGGGGGGCTTGCAGGATAAGGGGGTGCCGAGGAGTCCTCCTTCCACCACACCCCCCTCAGATGGAAACTTGGGGTTCCATCCTTGGCAGACGGTGAGACCTTTCTTTGCTGGCACTGCCAAGCACTGGGGGGGGGGAGAGGGGGAGTCAGATCCCGGAAGCAAAGCTTTTGTGTCGGTCAGCTCCAGAGTGGCCGAGGACTTGGCGTGAGGGTAGCCCCCCCTCACCCTGCTGATCCCATCCTGTTTCTTGAGACGGGGAGCTCCTCCCTTCTAGGGGTGCCCCCCATCTTCCCCAAGCTGCCTGATTTTGGGGGGAGACACACCGGTGGGTTGAATCGTCCGGAGGCTCCAGAGAGGCCGTCCTGAATCCTGCAAACTGGGGGGGCTCCTTGAAAGCCCCCTCCGGGTCGGGTTGAACCCCTCTGAGGGAGCCAGCCCACCGTCCGGGGTCCTCCCCGGGCTCCTGTTGGGGTGGCCGTGGGTGCCAGGAGTGCCCTCTGGGGGGTCAATGGGCCACTGGCTGTCCCTCGCTCGGGTGTGGATGCCCGCCCTGTGCTGGTGTGGGGCTGCGGGAAGAGGCGCCCCAAGTGCCAGCAGGTGCCAAATGCAGCCGGGCAGGCAGGCGCCAAACCGCTGCGCCGGTCCCCACATCAAAGGGACCCCGGCCTGCAGATTCTTTTGGGGGGAATCTCCCCACGAGGTGGGTGAGGGGATGAAACCCAGAGGGTGATCAGGCCCCGGTCTTAATTCCTGGGGTGCCGTTTTGATTATCGTGGCTGTTACGGCCTCGGTTCTGGAGCTTTAGGAGGTGCCCAAGATAAAGCAAAATAGCCCTTGGAGTCCCCTTCCTCTAAAAGATGGAGGTGGGGGAGCAATTAAGGAGAGAGTACAGGAACATACAGGCAGTCCTCGGCTTATGACCGCTAACGGGCCCAACATTTCCATCGTTAAGTGAGACACTTGTGAGTTTTGCCCCACCTTACGACCGACTGCCGTGGTTGCTAAGTGAATCGCTGCAGCTGTTAGTTAGAAACCTGGTGGATTTCAATTCCCAGAATTCCTGAGCCGGCCATGCTGAGTGAGGAATTCTGGGAGTTGAAGTCCACCGGTCGTGAAGGGGCCATAGTTCCTCCATGGTGGCTCAAGAATTCTGGGAATTGAAGTCCACCAGTCATAAAAGAGCCAAGGTTCCCCACCCTTGGACTAGTCTAAAGAAAAGAAGAAATAGGGGAGACACGATAGCAGCGTTCCACTATTTGAGGGGCTGCCTCGAGGAGGGGGGGTGTCAAAGTATTCTCCAAAAACACCAGAGAAACAATGGTTGGAAACTGACCAAACAGAGAAGCAACCTGGAATTAAGGAGAAACTTCCTGACAGTGAGGGCAATTAACCAGTGGAACAGCCGGCCACCAGAAATCATGGGTGCTCCATCACTGGAGGTTTTTAAGAAGAGATTAGACAGTCACTTGTCTGAGATGCTATAGATTCTGCTTGAGCAGGGGCTGGACTAGAAGACCTCCAAGGTCCCTTCCAGCTCTATTCCATTCTATTCTATTCTATATTCTATTTTCCTATTCTATTCTATTCTGTAATTCTATATTCTATTTTATATTCTATTCTATTCTATATTCTATTCTATTATTTCTGTTCAACTCTACTCTACTCTACTCTATTCTACTCTACTCTACTCTACTCTACACTCTATTCCAGTCAGAACTAACTAGCACATTGCTCCAGGGAGAATGGGTGCCAGTTTGTTGTAATGCGGAAACCAATAATCTTAACCACACATGAGAATTAGCCCAGGTGCTGGAAAATGTGGGCATAGAGACCACACAACGGTTGTCTGTCTGAGGAGGGGATGTGGCTGGGGGATGTTTCCAAGAAATGTGGGACAAGCGAGGCCCTCATTGGAACGAAGGAAGGTGTGACGTGACTGTGGGCAGGGGGGGCCAGGCAGGGGTCTGGATGGGA